CTCCGTGGCGTGCTCCGCAGTTGTTTTTATGTTTTTGTTAGTTTGTCCTGTCTTTAGTTATATCCCTACAATCAGTTTCACCAGAGACGAATTGCTGGACATTCGGAAGTACACACCACCTGATATTTCACCGGTTTTCGATTATTCTGATGTTTTGCTGGACATTGTAGTCGGGGGAACTGTGGCGCTGATCAAGCGCTTCAGGACGCGCAGACGGTGGAAGCAAGCCGGCACGCTCGTGAAGCTCAGGCAGCGCGGATTCAGAACAGCGTTGCCTAGCATCCATCTGGCGAACCTCCGCTCTCTACCCAACAAAACGGACGAGCTCCTTCTGCTCTCCGGGACAAATAAGGATTTTTCAAACCCTGCTGCTCTGTGTTTCACGGAAACCTGGCTGAAAGACGCCATTCCGGACAGCGCGTTGAGTCCGCCGGGCTTTCAGCTGTTCAGAGCGGACCGCGACGCAGAATCAACGGGGAAATCACGCGGTGGCGGTACATGCTTTTACATCAATGAGAGGTGGTGTACAGATGTAACTGTGTTAAAGAAGATGTGCTGTTCAGATCTAGAAGTGCTCTTCATAAACTGTAAGCCGTTCTATTCGCCGCGGGAGTTTTGCTCATTCATTCTCGTCAGTGTCTACATTCCTCCGCAAGCACACGTGAGCTCCGCTTTACAGAAACTCGCTGATCTGATCACAGACACAGAACAACAACACCCGGACTCTGTTTTAATCATTCTCGGGGACTTTAATAAAGCCAATCTCTCCCGTGAACTGCCAAAATACAGACAGCACATCACATGTCCCACCAGAGACAGTAATATATTGGATCACTGTTACACCACAATAAAGAATGCATATCACTCTGTTCCACGAGCAGCTTTGGGGCTCTCTGATCACTGCTTAGTTCATCTTATACCGACCTACAGGCAGAAACTGAAATCAGCTAAACCTGTATTAAGGACTGTAAAAAGATGGACTAATGAAGCAGAGCAGGATTTAAAAGCTTGTTTTGACCTTACTGATTGGAGTGTTTTTGAAGCTGCTGCCACCAATCTGGACGAGCTCACAGAGACCGTAACATCTTATATCAGTTTCTGTGAAGACATGTGCATTCCTACCAGGACTCATTTAACCTATAGCAACGACAAACCATGGTTCACTGCAAAACTCAGACAGCTACATCAGGCCAAAGAAGATGCTCATAGGAAGGGGGACAATGTCTTGTACAAACAGGCTAAATACACACTGGAAAAGGAGATCAGAGTGGCAAAGAGGAATTATTCTGAAAAAATTATTTTTACTTGTTCTATTTTTATTTTTATTTTTTTAATCTGTGTTTTTTGTTCTGTCACTGTCATTCTGTTACACTGTGGAAGCTTCTGTCACGAAAACAAATTCCTCGTATGTGTAAACATACCTGGCAATAAAGCTAATTCTGATTCTGATTCTGATTCTGATAATGTAATAAAATTGTAACATTCTGTTTAGTTAGTTTCATTATCATGGACTTTTAGTTTTACAAGTTTCCTGTCTTCCTTTGTTGAGTTTTCCCGCCACTCTTGTGTTGGACACTCCCTTTAGTTCGTTATCACTGTTTATTTCAAGGCGCTGTGGAATCCTTGATTCTGATTGGTCAGTCGCGACATTCCAATGTATGTTATCCCTCGATACCAACCGGTAAAAGCTAATAACACAGGCTCATCCGGGTAACTGAAGTCGGCGCTATACTCTTGCCAGTAATAGTTTTTTCTTGGTGGAATCTGTGCGTTTGTTTAGTTAATACAATATTAAAACTTGATTCAAAACTGTATACGATTATTGAATTATGTCATCCTGGTAACGCGGACTCGCTCTCTCGTTTCATACAAATGCAGCTGCTGTCATTTTGCTAAGATTGTTCTGTACGCTTTAATGGATTATAAGATAACTAACAAACTAACATTTTCGTCTTAAATCTTTTATCGCCATAATTATTTATGTGATGAAATGTTGTGTAATAAGAGGTGTGACTGCACCGTATCCCTTAAATGTTCGTCTAGTTTGAATTTGCCGCTTGCTCGCAACTGCTGTTTTCACGGAAGCTTTGCGTTCAAATATTTCAACTCAAATCAATATTTTGTGTCTAATTATTTACTTATGTGGTAAGTAGTCGTGTAATAAGCGGGATAATGTACATTCAGCTGGTTATATCGCTGAACAACCCCCTTCGGGGTGAGGCATTTATTCTGCGATAACAACCAGCTGGATGTACATGATCCCTTACGTATTTAAGTTCCTCTTTGTTCACCTTTCAGTTATCTGGTTTTGTTTGTGCATTGCACTCTGTCTCGTGTGTTGGATTACCCATATCTTCTTTGTTGTTGGGACTTAATTAAATAAAATAGACTTTTTGTTATCATCTTCATCTGCCTGAGATCGTGACAAAAATATTGTTCAACTAACATTTTGCCAGTTAATTTATCTGTTTTTGCTCCACCAACACAAATATTTCCAAACAAAGTCTGTTTTGCATTGCCATGAAACACTCACTGCTAGTAAGTCAAGTCAAGTCAAGTCACCTTTATTTATATAGCGCTTTTAACAATACAGATTGTGTCAAAGCAACTGAACAGCATTAATTAGGAAAATAGTGTGTCAATAATGCAAAATGACAATCGTAAACACTCATTTTTCAGTTAAAGACAGTTCATCATTCAATTCAGTGATGTCATCATCCAGCTCAGTTTAAATAATATCTTTGCAATCAAGTCAACGATAACGCTGGAAATGAAGTGTCCCCAACTAAGCAAGCCAGAGGCGACAGCGGCAAGGAACCAAAACTTCATCGGTGACAGAATGGAGAAAAAACCTTGGGAGAAACCAGGCTCAGTCGGGGGGCCAGTTCTCCTCTGACCAGTAGTAGTAGTGTTTTGTTGCTGAATGAATCAGTTAGATGAATGATTCACTGACTCACTCATGAAAGCAGCATCTCATTTCGAAGGCTGTGTAAGCTGGAAGTCACATTTCTCGGTCTCGTACGCCATCAAGGCCCTTTGAAAGCCTTTTGAAGCCTCTGATATGAGAACAGCATTCGAAAAGCAACGATTATAAAGTCGTCACATTCTTTGTGAGATGATTGAAATGTGGCCACATTTGATTAATCTATTCCCTCATTTTAGCTAAATTATGACCATATTGTAGTACTAATTCATTCCCTCATTTTAAGTAGCACAACTTTGATTTCAAGTAATCTTGTTTGTTGAAATCAAACACCTACAGTAAGTGGCGTAATGTTACCGGTTTGTTTACTTATACAACATTGTCTGAACGGTGGGCAATGAAACACCTTAATGGTAAGAACCTGGAGAAATCAAGTCAAAACCAGTCTTAAAGGGTTAGTTCACTCAAAAATGAAAATTAGGCTGCGTTTTACTCACCCCCGAGGCATCCTAGGTGTATATGACTTTTCTTCTTTCAGACGAATCCAGTCAAGTCAAGTCAAGTCAAGTCAAGTCAAGTCTGCTTTATTGTCTTCCACATGTACAGCACATACACACTTAATGTAGCTTGTGCCAACAGTTGTAGACGGAAGCTGCTCCGGGCGAATGACGTATGAGGTCGGCTTGAGACGGTGAGTCTCGTGAAAACCGATGTTTGTTTACAGGAGCAAAGGAAGCAAAGTTTCCTTACTTTTTCCTTACAAAGGAAAACCATTCTCCTCTTGGCTTATATCGAAATCCTCTGACATTCTCCTTTACAAATCCTCGTTTTGTACTTCTAATTCTTGACCATTGTTTTGTTTTGATCTCTCCGCTGCGCTTCCGCGTGCACACAAACACACACACACACACACAGACACAGACTTTATGATTTTTATATAGTACAAACCGTATCTTCTATTCCCTACCCCTCACAAATAACTACTGGCATTTTTAGATTCAAAAAAGCATCAGACCAGTATTTTTGGATATTGCAATCTTTGGGACATTTTGTCCCCATAATGTCGGGTATACCTGAACCTCTCTCTCTCTCTCGCTCTCTCTCTCTCTCTCTCTCTCCTTAATTCCAACCATTCTACAATCAAAATCATTCTAATCAAGTATGAACTTTAAAATGATTTAAAAAATATGGATTATGGATGCTGTTTGCTAGGACCAGAATCAGTGTTACTACTGGATATATTACTTACTTGGATATATTGATTACTAAACTTGGATATATAGATATGTTTGATTTGACCACTGATATTACACTTTGGGACGTAACTTGTCGTGTAGCCTACTGTTAAAATGGGCAAAAAGTCATATCTGCAGACCAGAGTATCACGGAGACATATTTTGCCACCAGTCACAACACATTCACATAGCAACGCCTCGGCAACTACCCAGAACACCCTAGGATGATATCAGTGCATTTTGCACAGGAACCATCTCCTTCAGAAAATCTGTTAAAAATATCATCTTATTTTTTTATTAAATACCATTATAAAATGTATATTATAAAATAAAATGCATTTATGATTACACTATGAAACGTTTGAGGTTAGCAATAATTTTTCCAGTGTTCCAGTTCCAATTGTTCCTTTGAGCTTTCTATTTATCACCGTTTCCAAAAAAATGTGAAGCACTACTCTTTTCAAACATTGATAATAATCAGAAATGTTTCTCGAGCAGCAAATCAGCATATTAGAATGATTTCTGAAGATCATGTGACACTGAAGACTGCACTTGAAAATTCAGCTTTGATCACAGCAATAAATTACATTTTACAATATATTCAAATAGAAAACAGTTCTTTTAAATTGTAATAAAAGTCACAATATTGTTGATTTTGCTGCATTTTTAATCAAATGTTTTGATCGGCTTTTAAAAATGCCCAAACACACCGTATTTTATAATTAAAAAAAAGTTATTATTGACAGGAACATATAAGTGATGAATGGATGGATCCATCATAATTTTACATATTCATTTTCTAAAAATTGTGAAATGAACGGGTTGAAATAAATGAGACTATGAAGAGCGCACATTTTATTTGACTTCTCTAATAATTACTTTACATAACTGTAAACCTCACAATGAGTCCTGATAGTTTTATCTACACAAAATATTCCTTCAAAAGCACAGTCTCTCATATGAAACTAGGCACTTCACACAAATGGACAGTGTTTGTTAGCAATAAAATGCTCATTTATTCATGTAGCAGTTTGAAAAGTGGATTCAAGTTCTAATCTACCAATCAGAACTTTAATGCTAAAATAAAACTCCCTGCCTGTCCAAACATTTACAAACAATAAGACAAGCCCTTCATGGCCAAGCTGTCCAGTCTTTTTATAAACCGTTAAAGTCCTCTCCAGACGTGGCCTACATGCGGTGGATCCCGTCGTGGTCGATGAACTGTTTGAGGTTATGGAGGTTGTCCCACCACTTCAAGAGGAAGGTTTCTGCGATCAGGCTGAACCAGGGTGTGATCTCCAGCTCTTTCCTCTTGGCTTTCTCCAGGATCTCCTTCAGCTCCTCTTTGGACACGTAGCAGTGGCTCTGGATCTCGTTGGGGTCTGGATTCAGATCCACGTCTTTCTGCATGAAGAGGATGTAGTCGATCTCGTGCTCGCCCCAGACGCCGTCTGACTGGGCTTTGTAGTGGATGCGGGTCAGGTAGGTCATCTCTTCTGGAGGCACCTGGGATAACAAGCAGCTTAGGCTTTAGCTGTAAATAATGCTGAATACAGGGTTTCATGAAGGTACAATTAAGACTTTCTAAAACCTTTTTAAGACCAAGCTGAGGAATAAATTGAAGGGAATGCAATACGTATAAACGTCTAGGGAGCAGACAAGGAGTTGTACTAGCAACACTTCAAAGTTCGAAAAATACAACTTCCGACAGATCTTCATTGCTTTTTAATTTAGGTTTCAAAAAAATGAATCATTCTTTATAACTTTGACTGTACGCCTTATCACACTGCAAAATAAACTGATGTTCTTGCTGAGTATTTTTGTCTTGCAAATGTCTAAAGATTCTTAAAATCAAGACACATTTACTTAAGAAGCAGACTGACATAAGATGTCTTGTTTTCTGATCAGTTGATCAATATGAAGTGAGTTTATGATGGAACTCTCTGCTACGATTTAAAGGGGTCATATGACGTTGCTAAAAAAGAACATTATTTTGTGTATTTGGTGTAATGAAATGTGTTTATGTGGTTTAAGGTTCAAAAAACACATTATTTTCCACATACTGTACATTATTGTTTCTCCTCGCCTTTCTGAAACGCATTGATTTTTACAAAGCTCATCGGTCTGAAAAGCGAGGTGTGCTGTGATTGGCCAGCTATCCAGTGCGTTGTGATTGGCCGAATACCTCAAGCGTGTGACAGAAATGTTACGCCCCTCACCATACTGTGATGCCGTCCGGCCAGAGCGACGAGACAAAAACATTAAAACCCATTATAAACGAGGCATTTGTTGCATCCAGTGGGGACATAATTACTGATTTTATAAAAAAGGTACTTACAGGCAGAACAGCCGGCATTGTAGTCTACTCTACCAGGATCAGGAAACAGTCCTCCATAAAATGCGCTGCACACATCTGAATATTTGGGTTGAACTGTTCTGGAACAGTGTTGTAAATACAACTTAACCACTGATTTCTAGTCGTGTCCTCTTTTGGAAGACCAAACAAAGTATTTTCGCTTTCACAACGAAGCACAGCGCCTTCACGACATGGCAGCGGCGGCAGCAATACTACAGCGAGAATCAAAGTTACGCCTTCTTTCTTTGCGTGAACATTTGGGCGGCATTATGCAAATCTTCCCACATAGTGACGTAGACATGTGGGGGCGTGTTAGAACGAGCCGTTTTAGGGGGGCGTGGACGAGTCTTAACTTTTATAAAGAATATCTCTTTGGATTTGAGACTTTAGTCTTTGCAACTTCAGGGATCTTATCTATTCACGAACAGCTTGTAACACTCCAAAGAGAAAGGAAAACTTGAAAATTGCATCATATGACCCCTTTCAAGACCTTTTTGGGCCTTAATTTGTGGAAGGGCGAATCAAGACTGTAAGCCGTGTTGTCTCAGTACCTGATCGGTGGGAATGCCCAGCTCGGCTTGCAGGCGTCTCTGTGCGGCGCGGCGGACCCCGATGGCATCCTGCTCCTCCAGTTCACTGGCAGTGTGGAGAGGGTGACTGCAGCAAGCGTTGGTAAAACAGCCTGGAAAAGCATATCAAACAACCCAAGCTTTATTTCAGCTTATGATAACATATTAAAAGGGTTCTAAAATCTGATTGGATGAGTCATTTTTTAATTATGCTCACCTCTCCGTACTCTATATTTATAAAGACCAGATACCTATAAAGCATATTACTTTCGGACAAATTGGTTTTTGTGATCATTATTATTTATACATTTAGAAATGTATTGAACATTGGTGTTTTTATCATATAGTCAACCTTTTATAATAGCAATAAACAAAGGCTTATTATGCCGTTTTGTGTCATGTCTAAGTGCAAACCAACGGATTGATGGAGAGTGAGTACTTGGGGCCAGATTTACTAATCAGTGCAATTCAGAATGAGACCGCAGTCCCAGAAAAGTACAGATGGGAGTGGAAACTCCTACAAATGCACACAAAAATAACTGGATCCATGTTTTTTCATCACTACGTTTTACAGTGAGTTTTTTTTAATGCCAAAAGAGGGGTTGCGCTGGTGCAAGCTGCTAGTAAATCTGGCGTCTTCCTCACCAGTTGTGTTACTATTTGCTATGTAATTACACATTTATGAGGGAAAAAAACCCCACACAAATTTAGTATTGAATTTAGGAAATTAGCAAAATGCAAGAGTAAAACTTTATGAACACCCAGTGTTGTTAACGCTAAACAAAAACTATACAAATTGTTTTGGTAATTGAAATAAAGCTGAACAATTTGGGAAAAGTTGCCTTGACAACTATAACATTAAACGGACTAAAACTAAAATAGAAATAAATTAATTTAGATAGAAATACTGACAAAAGCACATACTAAAGACTTAATCCAGAATTATAACGGAAAATATAACAGCTAATTCTAATAGATAATGCAAAATAGGAATTAATAGTATAAAAGTATATAAATAATATTAAAATAACACACACACACACACACACACACACACACACACACACACACACACACACCCACACACACACACACACAGACACACAACACACACACACACACACACACACACACACCTGGAAAAGTGATTTTGGCATTGGATCTCTGCTGAAGGAGCAGCTTCTCCTCGCTGTTAAACAGGAAAACACTGAATGCTCGATGCAATAATCCTGTCGGTGAGGAAGCCAGGAAATCATTTATTTTTAGCCTTTATATATTAAATAAATAAAAGAGTAGAAAAGTTTGTTAACTTTTTAGGGCCAGTGCACATACTTTATAAATCAACAGTAAAGCATCATGCGCATACGTTACCTTTCTCAATATTTGAGTTGAGATGGCAGTTTTTCTTGCTGTCAGCTCCAATCTTTCGGTCATTGTCGTCGATGAGGATGCACATCTCTGCAAGCAACTGCACCTGCTTCTCATCCAGATGATCCGTGTTAATCTCCGGCATCCTTACAGGTGAACTGAGCCGTCTGACCTGACTGTGCACACACACACACACACACACACACACACACGTCTGGTCAGCTATCCTTGTGGGGACATTCCATAGGCATAATGGTTTTTATACTGTACAAACTGTATGTGCTATTGCCCTACACCAACACTACCCCTAAACCTACCCCTCACAGGAAACTTTCTGCAGTTTTACTTTCTCAAAAAAACTCATTCTGTATGATTTATAAGCTTTTGTACCCCTGGGGACCACAATTTAGGTCCCCACCGTGACACGAGTCCCCATGAGTCTGTGTGTATTCAGGTTTAAGTCCCCACCAGAATATATAAACCTGTACACACACACACACATTCTCACTCACACACTAACTCACATTCTCACTCACACACTCACATATACACACACACTCACATATTCTCACACACTCACATACAGTGGGTACGGAAAGTATTCAGACCCCCTTAAATTTTTCACTCTTTCACTGTATACACACACACTCACATATTCTCACACACAATCTAAAAACATGTATATAAATAATAATTCATTATGGTAAACTGATGTCAACATTTTAATTGTTTAATATCGAAAGATATATATATATATATATATATATATATAAACCCTATTAAATAAATTTAATCACAATTACACTTAAAAAAAGTTTTACTTAAATAATAGCCAAAAAGCATTAGCTTAATAATAACTAAATAAATTGGGGAAGTCGTGGCCTAATGGTTAGAGAGTCGGACTCATAACCCAAAGGTTGTGGGTTCGAGTCTTGTACCGGCAGGGATTGTGAATTCCGCCTGCAATACCACAGCTGTGTCTCATTTAGAAGACTGCACCCTCCGGTGTTTTATTTTGTTCAATGTTTGAGGAGCTGCACCATACCTACAGCAGGCATCTATTAGAGAAAAAAGGAGGAGGTTATTAAAAACAAAGTTTATCCGTTTTGACCGAGGCGAATTAAGGGAAGTTGTAAACACCACATCTGCGCTTGTGTGTACGTTACAGCTGCCGGCGCCGGCATTTTTCAAATGAACAACGGTTGTTCACGGCGACGCAAAGCATTGTGGGTTATCTGTAGCAGCGAAGGATACACCTCATGCATCCTCCGAACTCCTGTGAAAGAAGGTCGCATTCGGAGTGTCCTACTTGCTTTTCTGAATGAGACACAGCTCACGACTGAGGTGCCCTTGAGCAAGGCACCGAACCCCCAACTGCTCTCCGGGCGCCGCAGCATAAATGGCTGCCCACTGCTCCGAGTGTGTGCGTGTGAGTGCACTTTGGATGGGTAAATGCAGCGTTCTGAGTATGGGGCACCATACCTGGCCACATGTCACATGTCACGTCACTTAAACATGCAGATATTTGTATAAATAATATTAAGTACAGAACTTAAATGATAAATAAATATTGTGCAATAATTATTACAACAACAAAAAATGAGCTTAGCATTGTGCTAAATTAAAAGGAAGCATTATTTAATAAGGCCTGTAAACCCCGCAGCTCGTGAAGTGCACAGTATGAATGTTTGCTGCACTCACCTGTACAGAAGCGCGTGCTGTCGAGCAGGTAGATGAAGAGTTCGAGCTCGTGCTGCGGCTTTATTTACTCTGAAGAGCAGCGCAGCCGCAGATCTGCCCGCCGCCCATAGCAACCGCGCCATGAGCGCACAGCGCGCTGACCAATCACAGCCCAGCACTCTACAGACACGCCATCACGCCACACAACACTGTACTGTACTTCTGCTCTACGAGCCAGCGATACAGCAGCGCTTCACACACTCACACCGCCGGAGCGCTGATGCTCGAGCTGTCTTTATAACGCACTGAACACCGCTTAATCTGACGAGCACACCGACTCCCCGCCCACACGTGACATTCATGCCAAAGGTTTTGATTGGCTGTTGGGAATGAAGCCGTCCTCGGATTGGTGAATATTCATCTAGGCTGTCTTCCGGGTGTGGTTGACAGGAAAAGCCGAGGGAAATCAAGCAAGCAAGACGTTAAAAGTTATACTGTTAATAGTTAATAACAATTCATATTTATATTAATATTAATAGTTAATATTAATTTAATCATTATGATTAAATTATTATACTGGAAATATCAACACATTTTAGGACAATTTAAAAATATATATAAATAAATAAAATAACAATTATTATTATTATTACTAAAACAAACAACAACAATAATAATAATAATTTTGAAAAGATATTTAAAAAATACAGTCGTAATCAGTAATGTAATTGATGTCAACATTATTTAAATGAATAAACAATAGTTGTTCACATGAAATTATATTTCTATCTGACATCTCATGTAATCGATTTGTTTTCGCATTTAGTTGACTATCTAATATTATAAATAATTTGTATTAATATACATAGCTTCCATATGTGACCCAAAATATTTTTTTTCACATAGTTGTCTCATCTTTCGTCTTTTAAAAAAAATCTCCGTCTGTTATAAAGGCAATGTAACATTTCTCTGTAATCTGAATTATTAATAATTGAATGATTATAATTTGTTTACAAATATAGTTGCATATGCGTTTTTGTGGAGAGATTTACCTAGACGTTTTAGTATTAGTACATACAGGAGAAAAAAAGTATTATGAACATCATATCTATGTGAATACCGTTGAGACTTTTATTTTGAAGTGTTACATCCGGCCGGAGGCCGTCACATTCGCTGTCATTTCCTCTTGCTTCACACTCTGCTGACAGTGTCGGGTTTGATAAAAAAAACACAACATCAAAGTGTGAAAATCCCGGTGAATTAGTTGAGCGGATCAGCAGTGTGTGTGTGTGTGTGTGTGTGTGGGTCATGCTGGAGGACTCCGACACACAGCACCCCACCATCAGCGACTGACAGACGCGCTCGCAATAACTGTGAGTATGACTGAAAGCGGAGGCGCTGCTGTTTGTCGTGATGGAGGATTAGCTGATGATCAGGCGAGTTAGACTTTCTCATCACAGCTGCTGTCAGACACACCTGACACACGGGGCCCGCGTGTTTTACTGGGTTAGTGCTGCTTTAACCGAGCAGGCCAGCTGACCTTGCCTCAAACTGTGTGTGTGTGTGTGTGTGTGTGTGTGTGTGTGTGTGTGTGTGTGTGTGTGTGTGT